AGCTTCCGGAGGAAGCCCTGCCTGGCCCTGGAGCGAGAGAGCCTTCCTCCAGAGCCCACGTCCGGCATTCGCACTTCTAGAAACCTGCGACAGCCACCCATTCTGGTACTCCTGTTACAGAGGCACGGGGTAACACAGACAAGTCTCCCAGTGAAGTCTTACTCTCTGCGGGAACCCTCGGACCTGCCTCCACTCTGCTCCCTTCCTGCAGCAGAGCCCTGGTCCCCCGGGGATGACTGGCTGGGTTAAGGGAGGGCACAAACCACAAAGGTTCTGTTGACTGCCGCTGCCAAAGTCAGCGCCTACCTTGGAGGAATTGGATGGGCGGGGCAGGGAGGATGCTAGCCTGCTGCCTGGGGCAGGCACAGAACACAGTATGTGTTCCTAAACGCTCCAGCAGACCTATGCTGGGAGCAGCTGATGCAGCTCAACTCTTCCCTGCCTGCCCCGCCCCGAGCCTAGAGTCCCATGAGTCCATGTGAATCTGCTACTGGGTCCTTTAGTGGATAGGATGTGGGTGAGGGTCAGTGTGTCAGGCTTGTGTCAACTTGGCTGGGCTGAACGAAGCCTCCAGAGTCCACGTTTTTCCACCTCTGTGAAGGGCAGAGGCTCCCAAACTTGTCTGGCTTCCCACGCCCTTAACATAATTCAAGGCCAACCTGGCAAAGAAAACCGTGTCTAGTCATCATCCAGGACACAGTATAGGGATCTGCTTTCGTGCCCTCCCCCGCCCCCACCTGGATCCTTCCAGTACCTGGGGGTAGAGAGGTGGGTTGTCACTCACTTTGGGGAGCCCCAGTCCAGATACCCAGCTTCTCTGTCTGGGCAGCCAGGGATCTGATATCAGCCTGCGAAGGAACTGCCTCCGGGGACTCTGACCCCCCCCAAAGCCAAACTCACTGCCATCGAGTCACTGCGACCCCTGTGGGTTTCCAAGACTGTCACTGTTGACAGGAGTAGAAAGCCGGGTCTTTCTCCCAAAGTTGCTGTCTTAAACTTCCAACCAGGC